TGTCCGCAAACGACAGCACCAAATTATACGGCAGGGTTCGTCCCGGATATCTGAGAAGCCGAAGCCCGAATTTTGTTGATGAGCAGGTCCAGGGCGTCCCGATCAGGCTCCTTAGTCAATGATCTCCACTGCTGCAAGAATATACATGATTTGAATAGAACATCAGCAGGTTTAGATGGGAAGGTAAGCTCAATAGTAAATTTGTTTCTAATATTCCATAAGGCCCAGCATAAGGCTCCCAAGCCAACCCAAAATACCCTCTTGGTGACCCCGACAAAAGTTTTAGCTAGGGTTCTAATATCAGAAAAAGAGGAGGGATTCCAAGAAACCCGAAGCCAAGATCTGACGCAAGACCAAACTAATTTGGCAAGTACACAGTTGAAAAAGATGTGCATTAATTTAGTTGAAGTAACAAGGAAGGATCTGCAGATGTTTGGGAAACTGAATGCTTTAATTTCTCTGGAACTGTTGTTGAAATCAGGCCAAAAAGAAAGGATTGCAATCCAAGGATACCCAAGTCTGAAGGAATTTTCCATTTTTTGCACAGTGGAGGAAGGCGGCGCATACATCACGTTCGTGCAAGGGGCTATGCCAAAGCTTGAGAAGCTTAGGCTGCCGTTCAGCGTGTCAGTGGCAAACACATATGGCTTCTGTTTAGGCATTGAGCATCTTCCATGTCTCAAAGAGGCAGAAGTGACTCTTTACAATGATGGTGCTGGATATTTTGAAGTCAAAGCTGCAATTGCTGTGATCAGGAATGAAGCGAGTGTTCATCTGAACCATCCTGAAGTTACTATCGTCGGAGAGTGCAATGAAGAGCGCAGAACCTGGCGGCAGGCTTCTAAATTTCATATGTTCTACCGTTTCATTTTTTCAGGTGCAGGCTTCTTTCAGGTGCAGGCTTCTTTCACCTGGGTTGCTTTCTTGGAATGTCAAGGCATCTTTCACCTTGGTTACTCATCCTTACCCTTTCAGTTGAGTATACACGATTTCTGAGACAGCAAGCAGTTGGATGGAGTTAAAAATAGGATTTCACACCAAGTTGATCAACAACCCATGATGAAAATTTTATGCATCCCGTTCCCCTCCTAGGGTTCCCCCCGCTCCGCCGCCGCCGCCGGCCCCCTCCCCCCACCCTCCCGCGCCTCCGGCCGCGTGCGCCGCGCCGCGCCCCGCCTCCCTCTCCCTCCCGGCCCGCCCCCCGCGTCGCCTCCCCGAGCGAGGCGACCGGGGGCCCATC